TCAAATTGAACCTTTCCAAAACTGAGCTCCTGATTTTTCCCCCAGCCTGTGCCCCCCCCCCCCCCTCCATCACGACCAACAACGCCACCATCAGTCCCACCCCGCAAGCCAAAGTCCTAGGTGTCATTCTAGACTCAAACCTGTCCTTCCAACCCCATGTCCAATCGTTGGCAAACTCATGCAGGCTCCATCTCCGCAACATCTCCAAAATACGTACGTTCCTAACCCCAGACACTACTAAACAACTCGTTCACTCCCTTATTATCTCACGTCTGGACTACTGCAACTCCCTTCTCACTGGCCTACCCCAACACAGACTATCCCCCCTTCAGTCTATCCTGAACTCAGCGGCCAGACTCATCCACCTTACCAACTGCTCCTTATCCGCCACCCCCTCTGTCATTCCCTCCACTGGCTCCCGATTGCCCAACGCATTAAATTCAAACTACTAACATTGACGTACAAAGCCATTCATAACGCTGCCCCAAACTACCTCACCGACCTGATACCCAAATACCACCCAACACGTAATCTTCGCTCCTCACAAGACCTCCTACTTTCTAGCTCCCTGGTCTCCACCACCACGCCCGACTGCAGGACCTCTCCAGGACTTCCCCCATCCTCTGGAACTCACTACCCCAATCCATCAGACTGTCACCTACCCTCCTCACCTTTAGGTGCACCCTGAAAACCCATCTCTTCAGGGAAGCCTACCCTGCCCTCACCTAACTGCCGATCTCCTCCACTCCTCCTACCACAGCCAATTCCTCCTGTACCACTATCCCCTCCCTCCTAGATTGTAAGCTTGAAAGAGCAGGGCCCTTGACACCCTCGTGTTTTGTTTTGTTACTGTATTGTCTCATGTTCTGTCCCTCACTATAATGTACAGCACTGAGCAAACCTTTTGGCGCTATATAAATACTGTATAATAATAATAATAACTTACTATGAAAGCTGTGCCCAAAAAGGCAAGCAGAGGACACCAATATTAAGGACCGTGGATAAGGGGGTACCACCGGTCCTCCTGTACGGGGACCAGGACAGCAGGGGGGCCCAGGCAGCTGGGCGATCAGCATGGCTGGGTGGGCAATTGCTAGAACCGATCCCCTGTATGGCTCTGCAGCAGCTGAAAGCTGGCTTCTTCTCCTCTCTCTCCTGCTGGCTTTTGGCTGCTGTAGAGATTGCCATACAGGGGATCAGGGGTAATTGCCCCCCTACCTCACCAATCGCCCTCCCTGTGCACCATACCTTACCCTCTACTGTCCAGGGCCCCTGTGTGCCCCCACCCAGGCAGTGCTGCTGGCTTCCCTCCTCCTCCTTCCCACCGGAAGCTGCAAGCACACTATAGGATCCTTCAGGATGGAGATAACCATGTCTAGTTCAATGTCATGGCCCTTTGTGTGAATGGCCATCCTGGTAGATACAGGGCTTTCCTTTCTCATGCCAGAACTGCACCCCTGATAACCTACTGATTTACTAACCTTAAAGCAGTATATTTATTATATTGCAGCTTTCCAATTAGATGTGGTGGCTGCACTAGCTTTCGTTTTATTTTTCTTTCCGATTTATTCACCGGGTGATCTGGCCAGTAAGTTTGTTGTCTTTCAAGCTGTTCTGCAGTTACAGGAATGACATACTGTATATATAAAAGCACTAAAAAAAAGTCCTCTAGTTATAAATGATATTAATTTAAGGTTAATCAAAATGTGCAAAGAAAACACACACAATAAAGACCCGTGTCTTATATGGTCACATATTTTTCAGTAAGGTAAGTTGTGTTCATATGGGTTGTTTACGTGGCGTGTGAAGGTCATAGAAGCTTGGAACACTGTAGAAGAAGTCTGTGATAAATCTGATTTTTGGACTTTTGATACAGAATTTCCTTTGGATTTTTGGGACTGCTCACGTTTCTATTTTACACTTTACTGCTTGTGTTTTCTTTGCACGTTTTGATTAACCTTAAATTAATATCATATTTCGTTTAATATCATATATCATTTATAATTAGTGGATTTTTGTCTTTAGCGCTGCACTTTTATAAATATATTATATGAATTTGGTATCATAAGTCCTAGTGCTGGCAGCTTGTTAGATACCTTCCAAGCGCTGTTTCCTATTGCATATTAGTTAGAGGAATGAGACAAACCATTTACCACTGACAAAGGTGCTTACAACGGTCAGTTTATATTTTTTGTGCAAAACCTTTTTCCAAAAATAGAGAAAAAAAACTGTTTGCTTTAACCTCCTTGGCGGTATGATTCTTTCCGATTTTTTGTGCTGAAAGCGGTACCATTTTTTTTGCATGGAAATATGTAGTTTTTTATTGTAGGCTGTAATTTTTAGGAATGACTCACTGAAATCTGTCCGAACAAGAGTCTATTAAACATTCTGGATATGATAAAATTTGCAACACGAAATCATAAATTATAATTTAATAAATAATCATAAAAAATAATAATATAATAATAATAAATTTAATTCAATATTATAATCAAACCAAAAACACTGAAATTTGAAATACAGAGGCAAATTCGCACATCACTGAGCAAAGTCGCAAAATCGTTTTCAGTGTCTGATGACGAATTTCCCCACGAATCATTATCACTCAATTCTGCAAGTGGTTCTGATTTACTATCGCTGCTCTAAAACCGCTTTTGATGTAAAGGGACGCTTTTTGGACGCCATGGACTTTTCTAAGTTTTCAGGCAGAAAGAACATTCAAAATGCAGGCAGGGCACAGGACAAAGCAGTAGGGACAAAATATATGTGAAATGCATTGAAACAGCAATGCCAGCAAAAATGACATTTTTAAAAAATTTCAAATTTCCCGCCGTACGTCCCAATGTCACAGGGACCGGAACACAGAAGCCGGATGCCGGCATCGGCCGGAGGAGATGGCCGGGGACACTGCAGGGGACACATCGCGGGAGCGAAGGACAAGGTAAGTGCTGCAGGGACCCCCAGAGCAGCGCCGCATGGTAAGCCTGAGTGTAGCTCGGGGTTACCGCTCTTGGTATAGAAATTTTACCCCGAGCTACACTCGGGATTACCGCTAAGGAGGTTAACTGCTAATAAAGTGTTAACTGGAGTTTGGCTTCAATTTATTAGTCTAAATCTGCTAGTACATCTAACACTCCCCTCCCCCCAGATTAACAATGCTGCTGCCCAAAGGTGCCCCCTGTGCTCCTTCATCCAGAGTGGGAACATTCTAGTACAGGAGGGGTGTTAGTGGCTAGATCACCAGGTGAAAACAGAGGAAAAGCTTAAAAATATAAAACCAATGCAGCCACCACATCTAATGATTGGTAAGCTGCAATATATTATATTTTTGGTTTTGGGTTTAATACCATTTTAAGTCTTTGATTGTAACCCATACACACATAAACAATACACATACAGAATGTAACTATATAGGCTCAATTTATATTATTTTTTTTTCCTCTATGAAGAGTGTGAAGTAAATTCTTCCCATTTTTCTGCACATTTTGTTTCCATCGTCTGGTTAGGCCTTCTGATGTTTTTCATAGCAATGGTTTGTGCGTCTTCTTCACTGTAGACTTAATTTGTAAATGGAAATAATGTGTCTGCATGTACATTAGACTGTTTGGGTTTTGCTTTCAGGGTAAAAGCAGTTATTGCAGTAATAAAAGGTAATAACGCAATGCTCTACACTGCTGCCAAGCTTCAATAAAACTCTATTTTATGTTCAATAAACCACTAGTTTGTAGCTGGTAGAAATATGTGATCTAAAATTTGCTGATGTGTATCGCAGATTATGCAGTGCTTCACAAAAACTTTGCATTATTGTATTTGACATACAGGAAATCATGGGAACAATGGAAACAATGGGGCAACGGGACAAGATGGGCCAAAAGGTGAAAAGGGAGATAAGGGGGACATGGGCCCAAGAGGAGAGCGTGGTCATAGTGGGCTCAAAGGAGAAAAAGGATATCCTGGGGTTCCTTCTGAACTGCAGGTAAGTCATTTTCATTGCTGCCATTATGTCCAAAGAATGTTTATAGCTTGTACTGACATATGTTTAGATCTCTAAGTGTATAATACATTGGTTGCTTTCACCAACAATATCAAGAAAAAATTGCAACATTTTTTTAAAGTGTGACTACGGGCAAAATAAAAAAATTATGTGTGATACAGTCTATCAATAAAATTAACACAGTAATTTGTATGTGTCTTGCTTCCCCTGTAACATACTTTTTTACCTGTTTTTTTTATTATATCTTTATTAATAAATTTCATCTTACAAAAACCAACAAAATATACATAATTTCAAGTACATTTTCTAATTTATATTTTCCCCGAAACCCTTCCCCATTACATCCCCCCTCCTCCCCTATCCCACTTTTTATATTCCCTATCTCCTTTTCCCTTTTACTTCCTAATCCTCCTGTTCCTCCATCACTCCCTCCAACTTCCTTCTCTAGATCTTTCTTTCTCCTACCATCTTTCCTTACATTTAACAAGATTTTTCTTTTTTCTCTTCATTCGACAAGATTTTAATTCCTTCTCTTCATTCAAGGCTCCTACCAACTTCACATATCTCTTGGAGATTTTGAACTCTTTCCAACTTTCCCATGTTTTTTTGAATGTCTCCATTTTTATCCTCTGTAATATGTAATAGTTCCTCCATCCTATAAATATATATATATATATATATATATATATATATATATATATATATATATATATATATCCACCCTATGTATTCAGTCTTTTATTTTTGGTGTCTCCTGAACCTGCCAGAATTTCGATATTAATCTTTTTGCTGCATTTATTACATGGTATATCATCATATCCTTGTATGGTTTCACTGAGAGGTTGGTATAGTGGAATAAACAAACCCACGGGTCTCTCTGAATACTCATCCCCGTAATCTTCTGTATTTTATATGTTTTAGCTATCCGAGCAGGAACCATGTACCAGCGCATGAGTACTTTATAATTTGTTTCCCTTGGACACAGCGAATCACCGATCACGGAAAGAGCCAAAGGTGCCAGCTCGGTCATGTGATCAGCTGTGTCCAATCACAGCTGATCACATGTAAACACGGAAATGCCGGTTATTGGCATTTCTCTCCTCTCGAGCTGTCACGCTGACAGCTCGAGAGGAAAGGAGAGCCAGTATTCGGCTTTCCGCGGAGGGGACATGTACACTGATCATCAGGGCACCAATGATCAGTGTGCCCTGATGATCAGTGTGGCCCCAGAAGTGCCACCTGTCAGTGTCCATCAGTGCCAGCAGTCAGTGCTCATCAGTGCCACGTGCCAGTGCCCATCAGTGCCACATCAATGCCACATATCAGTGCCCATCTGAGCTGCCTTTCAATGTCACCCATCAGTGCCAGTCAGTGCCACCTATCAATGCCAATCAGTGCCACCTATCAGTGCTGCCAGTCAGTGCCACCTATCAGTGCCAGTCAGTGTCGCCTATCAGTGCGCATCAGTGCCGCCTATCAGTGCCAGTCAGTGCTGCCTAACAGTGTCAGTCAGTGCTGCCTAACAGTGCCAGTCAGTGCCGCCTATCAGTGCTAGTCAGTGCTGCCTATCAGTGCCATATATCAGTGTCATGTATCAGTGCTGCCTTTCAGTGCCCATCAGTGATGCATGTCAATGCCCATCGGTGCAACCTACCAGTGCCTCCTCATCAGTGCCCATCAGTGCCACCTATCAGTGTCCATCAGTGCAGCATATCAGTGCCCATCACTGCAGCCTCATTAGCGCACATCAGTAAAGGAGAAAAATCACTTATTTACAAAATTGTATAACAAAACTAAGAAAAAACTTTTTAAAAAAAAAATTTTCAGTGGTTTTTGGTTTAAGAAAAAATAAAAATCCCAGAGGTGATTAAATACCACCAAAAGAAAGCTATATCTGTCTAAAAAAAAATGATAAAAATTTCATATGGGTACAGTGTTGCATGACCGCGCAATTGTCATTCAAAGTATGACAGCGCTGAAAGCTGGAAATTGGCCTGGGCAGGAAGGGGGTAGAAGTGCCCTGTAGGCAAGTGGTTAAAACCCAACCCTGAACTTAAAGTGGAACTATTCTAACCTCTGCTCCAGTGATGTGTAGTCTGCGAGCTCACTCGCTGGTGCTGACATCTGTTCAGCTGCTTCAGCCATCTTGATTGTCCAGGGCTTGATGATGTTTCTCCAACGCATGCACACAGGAGTTACTTCATTCCAGCACCCACCTTGTAGCTTAGTGTATAATACCTTACACTACACCGAATCCCTAAAACTAAAACTAGAAAAATTCTGTAGTACTAATAAATCCCAGCTGACAGGTGAATGTAAATAAAGAGGGAAAGATTGTAAAACAAAATATGGGGTCCCTCATATACCCCTACCAGAAACCTCAGGACTGATATGAATTTTGGGAGGGACCATGCAAAAAGAAAAATTCTGTTCCACAAAAAAATCCATACCAGGCCCTTATTCGAGCACGACAAATACCAGACCCTTACTCTCCAGCAAAGCACCTTTTCCCCATGATGATGAGGTCAAAGGCCTCTTCCCACAACCCTGGTCAGGTGGCTGTAGGGGTCTGCAGAAAGGGAACGTAATGCTATCTGGTACTCCCCTTTTAAAAATAAACTTTTTACCCAGATACCAACTTCCTTGACAAGAGTAAGTAAGGGGTACTAGGGGCGGACTGACAACTCATGGGGCCCCCGGGCAATAAGGGATCATGGGGCCCCTGTGTCCTTGCCCAAACTCAAAAAAGCCTATGAAAAAAGTACCAGGGGCATCACATGGGGGCTCCTACTGACCCCCGGGCCCTCGGGCAGTGCCCGAGTTTCCAAATGGTCAGTCTGCCCCTGAGGGGTACATAGTACCCCTACTCATTCACAAAAAAATTAAAAACCTCAAAAATATCCCACAATTTACTGTAAATCCACCATCCATCAGTGTAGTTATAGTTATTATTATACAGTATTTATAAAGCGCCAATAGTTCGCTCAGCGCTGTACATTACAAAGGGGGACAGAACATGCGACAGAACAATAACAATACAATGTAGAACATGAGGGGTAGTGAGGAAGAGTCTTGTCAATCAAAACAAACAATGCCTGCTGATCCACCAAAAGATGATAAACCGACACATCTTATTCTGTTGCTCAGTCATCGAGAATGACAGCTCCCAAGCCACGTTGCTAAATGCAACAAAGGGAATGGTCTCCTGGTTGACATCACTGACCAAATATGGAGGTTTCAATGTCATAGTTAAAATTATAATGCTATAGTAGACTGTATATGATGATGTCAAAAATATTCTTGTAATCATGGAACAGATTTTATTTCTGACTTCTAAATAGGATTACACACATCTTTAGCTGAATAACCCTGTAATGCTGTTCCTACTATTCATTACATGCTCCATGTTGTTTTTTGTCACCACAGAGCTGTGTTTCCAGAAATTATAGCAAATCCCATTTCTAGTAACAGTTTTATTACACATATTTATTACACATATAACATTTTACAAATGCTGTCAGATCAAAGATGTGTATCAGTATAGTTGTATTTAGTTATTTACTTTATGTAATGACTACAAATATAAACATCCATAAATCCTGCCTCTGATTGGCTAGCAGTTGTAACATATCTCTGTTCATGACATATGCATATATTTGGTGAAGATAAATTCTGTTTTCTAGAGATTAGAAAAATAGACATCAGCTTGTTCCTTGGATTCTAGAAGATACCAAGGAATGCTATTTAGAATGACATTTCATTGATGGCTGACTGTTGTGTTATCTCTTTCTCTGAAGGCTATTACTCATGCCACCTGTGTAAGTTCCCAAAATATATTAGTGTTTTCTTTTCTTGTCAGGGAGAAATGTTTCTGTAACAAAGTCTGAAACTTTTTTTCTGTTTAACAAGCCTAGCTTTTACTGAATCCACCTGAACTGGATCATCTCTACTCCACTGGCTATTTCCATGTGGTCCTCACATGTAGTCAGGTCTCCACCTCACATATAGTTTGCAGGATGTCGCAAGTTGTTCAGCCCAAACCATTTTCTGTCACATGCACGGATGTTGGTCCTTGACCTCTTCCCTCCCGGTCACCCCACAGTTAACACTCTCCACCTGGATTACCCATATTTGACCCATGGTCCAGGCAAAAACCCAGGTGACCAGGCTTGCACCAGAAAAACACATAACTAGCTCCACAACCCAGGTATTGACTGTGCTGCACATTTAAACCTATTAGGTCATCACACAGAGGCTGGTAGTTGCAATAAAAGGTCCTTACTTGCATTAATCAGCAAATTGAACATTCCAAATAGCGGCATCAATAGTTCCAAATCAAGGCATGAAAGAGGTAGTGTGCAATATATGCATTCACATTCTGGCATCTTGTGGCTTTAATCTCTAGTACACCACTCCTTCTCTCAGTATGTTTTTGAAAGATCCCCATACTATGCTGAAAACTTCTCCACGGAGGAAAGAACAAGGGGAAACACCAAACTCCTTCCTCTTTTCAGGTTTCTGTCCCAGCCTCTTCCTCTTTCAGTTCCTTCCATCATTCTCCCTTCTTCCCTTGGTTTGCTAGAGTAGCCCCTCTCCTGAAGGGGAGAGCACAAACAACTGTAGTGCTACCCCCAGAGGAGCCGCTTGTATTTTTTCCCAGGTCCCCCCGTTTGTTTTGCCCCCCACAGCCAGGCACAAAATATTTTCACAGCCAAGTGCACATGCATTTCTGCTCATTATCTCCAATGACCAGCCATGGGGATGTTGTTTTTCGATTTTTATTGTAGAATTAGAGTTTGTGGATTTTAGTAGGATACTCCAAAATTAAAACTATTAACACTGAGGGCATCTATCTGATCTCTTAGTTACAGTATCTCACAAAAGAGTCCACCCCTCACATTTTTGTAAATATTTTATTATATGTGACAACACTGAAGAAATGACACTTTGCTATAATGTGACGTAGTGAGTGTACAGCTTGTATAACAGTGTAAATTTGCTGTCCCCTCAAAATAACTCAACACACAGCCATTAATGTCTAAACCGCTGACAACAAAAGTGAGTACACCCCTAAGTGACAATGTCCAAATTGGGCCCAAAGTGTCAATATTTTGTGTGGCCACCATTATTTTCCAGCACTGCCTTAACTCTCTTGGGCATGGAGTTCATCAGACCTTCACATGGAGCTGTGGATGTTAGAGACCTTGCGCTCCTCCACCTTCCATTTGAGGATGCCCCATAACAGGGTTTAGGTCTGGAGACATGCTTGGCCAGTCCATCACATTTACCCTCAGCTTCTTTATCAAGGCAGTGGTCATCTTGGACGTGTGTTTGGGGTCGTTATCATGTTGGAATACTGCTCTGTGCCCTGTTAAACTGCTGTATGGTTTTGGCCACCGTGAAGAAGCTCAGTTTCAGGGTCTTGGCAATCTTCTTATAGCCTAGGCCATCTTTATGTAGAGCAACAATTCTTTTTTTCAGATCCTCAGAGAGTTCTTTGCCTTGAGGTGCCATGTTGAACTTCCAGTGACCAGTATGAGAGAGCTATAACACCAAATTTAACACAGTTGCTCCCCATTCACACCTGAGACCTTGTATCACTAATGAGTCACATGACACCGAGTAGTGAAAATGGCTAATTGGGCCCAATTTGGACATTTTCACTTAGGGGTGTCCTCACTGTTGTCTCCAGAACTTTGGAGAAAGGTCTAGAAACAGGGGGTTAACCTGAGGAGTGACTGTTATGTACTGTTAGGGGATCCTGGCCAATCCTCAACAGGAGGCTTTGTAAGGGGCCACCTTTAAGAGTAACTGAGCCTGCTCAGCAGGAGAGAGGAGGGAGTTGGGTGGAAGATGTGAGAGAGGAAGAGATGCAGGAGCCTATGAAGGGGGCCCAGATGGGAAAGGGGCTCGCTTCCAGACAGAGAAACCTTGGAATGAGGAAAGCTTGGGACTTCATCGGCCCCCTGAGAGAGGACCACCTGTAAGGGGGTAGGTAGTGCTACATAGAGATGGCAAAGGCTGGAACCCCTGTCAGATTTTTATATCTGTCCTTGTTCTTTTGTAGCCTTTCCCTTTCTTCCTGTCTAGTGAAGTCTGAACCCACCTTGACAGTAGAGAGAAATTTCTGTAATAGGACTGCAGATGGCTGTAAAAAGACAAAAGTGGTTCTAATCTGTTCCAACACTATAAAAATAAAATGTTTTGGCTGGACTTGCACTTTAATGACTGATGAGATAGGATATTATTCATGCAAACAATGCATTGTTTTTTTAGCACACTCCCAGTACAGGGACAGAGCTCTCACCAATGAGCTCATGGTCTTGTGCTAATGACTGGGAACTGAGAGGCCCAGTTTCTGATCAACTGAGGGCTGTGATTGCCTTGGACTGGCTATTACAGTGATCAATCACTGTGTAGCCTACCCATATGTTGGTTTCTCCTCTAGAATAAGAAAAAGATACATGGAATCATT